GTGGCCCCTAGGACAGTGGCTGCATTGGTTCCCCAACTCCAGAAGTGTCTAGATGCACCCAGTCTTCAGGCACTGCTCTTATGTACACAAATACTGTTCTTTGGTATCCAGTGAGTAACTAGCAAGCCTCACCCCACATGTGCTGGAATCCCTACCCATTTTTTGATGTTTTTATGGTGTGTGCATGTGCACATATGTGCAAGGAGAGGCTGAAACGATGTCATCAACAAGGCTGGATAAAATTAAACCAGTCCCAGTAGGATGGCTTGCTGCCCCAAGAACATCGTGAGCAAACCGGCCTCAGCCAGCTGGCCTACAAACCTATTCCTGATGTTGTTTCTATGGGGAAATATGTCCAGACTTAAAGTCTTTGGGGAGCTGTAACTTTTGGAATACATCTTGTTCTAAGTTGGGGATGTCCTGTATTTTATTTGGCCAGAAAAGAGCAGCTGCCATAACTCAGACACCCCGGTAGAATGTTTGGAGTCACAGGCAGGGGAATAAAGCACGTTATCACTGCTCATGGCTCAGACATCTACTGAAGTCTGGATGAGAATTACCCTCCCCCACTCCATAGCCTCTTCCCCTCTAGCCTCTCCATTACTGCCCAGCCTCTAGAGGCAGAAATGACCCAACCCCAATGGATTAAATGCCATTGTGTCCTGGACTCAAGAGGGTCCAGGAGGCCAGAAGAGGCCCCAGAGCTGCCTGTGGACACTTGGTAACAGGAAAATGCCTCTACTATCCCCAGAATACCTGCCCCTCCTGCAAAGTCAGATTTATACTCCTGAAAGCATCTTTTTGTGGAAAAGACCTGGAGACCACCACCAGGATTAACTCAGGCCATGTTTTAGGAAGGGGCTAAATCAGCCTCCAGTCGAGAAATGGGTCAGAGGAGGAGACTATTGAACTGAATCAAAAGAATAGAAATTAGGGGGAGGTAATGGGGCCGCATGGGCCATTAGCCCAAAAGAAAGAGTGTGCACTCCTCAGGGCACAGACATGGTTCAGAGGCCTAAGGCTGGTGACAGATGGGACCAGAGAAGAGGCAGGGCCCAGCACGGTCAGAGTCTGCCTCTGCATTTGAGATACTGTGGATAGAGGAGGGGTGGGGATTATTCACGGTGGCTAGTAGGGGGTCAAAGGAAGACCAGTATCCCCCAGAACAAGGGCTGGGCTTCTCAGCCTGTCTGGTACCATCCTAGCCCCACTGTGCCATCACCCCAAGCCCTCTTGTACTTGTCATCAGACCACTACCCCGGGGCTGACAAGAGCCCCCTGCTCTCTTCACAGGAGGCCCACTCAGCCGAGGAGTATGTTTGGCATATCAAACAGGCCCTGGACATCCTCTATGAGGAGGTAGGGAAGAGCAAGAGCCAGTGTCTGGGTCCCATTTCCTTCCAGCATCCAACCTCCTCCCTCACTAGGTACATCTAGGAAAGCTGTGTTCAGTGAGATACATGCTGAGCAGAGCCCCCCTGTGAGCAGATGCCTGGAGGGGAGATAAGGGAGCAGGGGGCGGGGCAGATGACAAACTCCCCTGCAAGAGAGATTCTGACTGAATTAGACTATATTGTTGGGTGGCGAAGAGTTTGCCTCTGGAACCAACTGGCCGAGTCTGGAGCCAGGTACGGTGGCTTCCTAGCAATGCGACTTGGGCCAACCAGCTTGTGTCTCAGCTTCCCACGCTATAAAGTGAGCCATTAAAAGTCACATCCCCTCCTTGTGGCTCAGTTTCTTTATTGGCAAAACAACTGGGGAAGGAGGAAGTTTGATTGTAGCTGAGGCCCTAGGTTTCTTCCAGTAGTAACGGATATCCCCCACAATGGCCTGGGGACTAACAGAGCTCGTCCCTCTGCTCCCCACAGCTTCCAAGGGCTTTTATCAACGTGGTAGAGGTCATGGAGTTGGCTGGCCTACACCAGAACCAAGGTGGGAAATGTGACCTGCCCCTGGCAGCTCAGTAAGTACACAGTCCCAGGGCGAGGGCACCTGGGGACAGCAGGGCTCACAGATGCCACCATAGGCAACCATTGCGGGCTTAGCCAGGTGATCCTGTCCAAAGGACAGACCTTGGCAATTAGCCAGGGGCCTGGCAAATCATTTGGAAATACCTCTACAGTACTGAATGCCTACTGTATGCAAGTCACTTTATTTCTCTGGACCCCAGTTCGCTTTGCTGTAAAGCGAGAGGCACAGAACAATGATCCTTTAGGCCCCAATCATGGTCTCTGATTCCAAACTCCAGTGATTGCTCCATGTTTGAGAGACAGCCTCGGGCCAATGAGCTTCGGAGACAGCCACACGTCTGTATCTGGCTCTGGCACTGAGGAGCTATGGGATTGCGCACAAGCTACATAACTTCTCTGGGCCTCTTGCTCATCATCTGTCAAATCTTGCAGAGTAGGGAGGATTGAAAGAAATGCATGTGATGTGTTTGGTCCCCGTGGGGCAGCCTTTCAGTAAATAGTAACTTTTAGAACAGCGTCGAAAGCCAGGCTTGGATCTAAGGTATGTTGTACAAGAGACAAATTTCTGGCGAGGGCTGGCATTTATTAAAGCTCGGCTGTGATCCTGGAGGGAAGCTGCCATCTTCCGAGGCGACAGGGTCACCCAGAAGTCCTGTGGCTGCTGCTAGGGGAGAGGAGATTCTGAAGGGAGCTGAGGAGTCCTACCTGGGGTCAAATGGATTTGCTGGAGAGGTGACCAGCCTGTTCCCATTCTTGTTGGGCACCAGGTGGTACAGCCAATAGCTGGGAGGGGTGAATGGCACCTCCAGAACCTTCAGATCTTCCATTCTCCCTGGTCAGTGTGTCTCAAACTAGTTGACCCTCCCAAGAGACTCCCCACTCTGGAGCCCCAAGGGCAAGTCCTAAGCTGCTGGAGGTGGAGCTGGGAGGTCTGAGGAATGGGAAGAAGATAAGGCTTTCATGGCTGTCTTTCCAAACCTCCAGCCCTTCCCTGGAGGAAGCCTAGGCTGGGGCAGGAGCAGCCAGGTGGCAAGGGGACCCAGATATCAGGTGCCAGCTCTCTCACCTTCTCTTTAAACATGCACCTGCCACCCCCAGTGCCCCTGAATTAGACTGTGACCTGGTTCTGCGAATCACCCAAGGCTCTGTTGTGGGGGCACCTGTGTATTTACCATCCTCCCAAGCAAAGAGCGCAGGGTCCAGGCCTCCTTCCTGGGGACATGGGGTGCTAGCAGCAGTCAGCCAACCGGGTACCTGTCCACAGGAGCAATTGCACCTGCCTCAGACGTTCCCAGGAGAATTCTCTGGAGCTGCAAGAACTGAAGCAAATGAACTGGAACTTCCAGGTGAAGCTGTAACCCCCCCTTCCTGTCCCAGCTGGGGGCTCCCTCTATTCCCCGGGAGCAGGGGTTTGCTGAGAGGAAGGCTGCTCCCTAAAGGTAGATCACAGCCCCTGAAACATTTCTCAAGGTGAAGAGAACAATCTCCAAGGGGAAGCTGCAAGAAGCCCTGCCTCCCAGCCCTGGGGACTGGAGTAGATTCCACAGGCTGGGCACCATCCCTCACCCAGAGGAAGGAGGAAGTGTCCACTGCCCTGTTGGGCTCCTTCCCTCCCTTCCTCAGATCATAAGGCTTAGCCCAGCCCTGCTTACCTCCGTCCCCAATTCTGTGTCCACCTCTGCTCATGCTGTCCCCTCTTGACAGCGCTCCCTCTTCTCCCCCGAGCCCTGCTGTGACCTCTCCACCTCATGTGCAGGGCATGTCTTCCCGTATCTTCTGAGATGCTTCCCCTGACTAAACTTTGCCCTCAGGTATCTCCCCATATCAGCTTCAGTCTACCTTCACTGACCCTGAAGCCCTAGAGGGTTCTCATATTTTTTGCACTCCGTCTCATTTTTCCAGATTGACTGTTAAGCTTCTCGAGGAGAAGCACATCTATCCTTTTGACACAGCCGCTCATCCCCCAAGTTCACAGGCATTTTGGGGAGCTGGTGTTGAAATGCTACCCATCTGAGCTGGATCTGAACTGGAACCCCATGTTCTAACTCAGCTCTTCATGCAGCAAGAATAGGGGATAAATAATCCATCCACCTTTGGCCCAAGCAGTCCTCTCAGACTCAGACCGAGCCTCAGAGACTTTGAAACAGAATGGGTGGTGCTCACGCCTGGGTGCAGACGAAATGAGCACATGCATGTGTGCTAGAGGATCCCTTGAAGTCACCTCTGGCTAGGGTGGGTCCCCCCATCACCACCAACCCCAGGCAGCAGGACTAGAGCTCGTCTGCCCAGTCCTGCCAGGGGCTGAGGAACCTCTTCCCCATCCACAGAGTGGCATCTACAGGTTGTCCTACTGGCCCCAGTACCTGCAGCGCGAGGACTTCGCGGTGGTTGTGCAGCCTTTCTTCCAAAACACTCTTGTCCCCCTGAACAGTGTAAGCTGCGGGCATTTCTGGGAGGCGCGTGTGTAGAGGCCCTTCTTAGGTGATGTACTTCCTTCTATAGCTGAGCTTTTTCTGACCATATGGTTCCAAGAGGGTTCCCAAGGGGTTGCTTTTTCTGTTTTCCTTTTTTTTTTTTTTTTTTTTTTTTTAGTATGATTGGAACTTGTAGTTGGAAAGAAAAGGAGAAAATTAACAGTGACCCAGCTCCTCAGGCATGGTCCTGCTATTTGCTAAATTTGGATAGAATGGAAACTTCCTAAAGTTTTTTTTTTCATGTATTAGGGCAGGGATGTAAAAGGAAAAGGGATGGACTGTGGGTAGATGCAATTCAGGTCTTTTTCAAAGTTCCAAAATTGAGGAGTTTTTTCATCAATATCTCAGCCAAGTGGCAGCAGAATTGAAAGGAATAATGCCCAGACATCTGCAGGGGTGGGTGGTGGTACCTCTGTTCCACAGGAACATAATCCCTTTGCTTTTGGTCACAGAGAGGGGGCGCTGACCTCACCTTCTTCTCAGAGGACTGTTTCCACTTCTCAGAACGGGGCCATGCCGAGATGGCCATTGCGCTCTGGAACAACATGGTGAGTGCCTGAGCGCCCCATACGCTGTGTCCAAGAGGGCAACCCAGGGGTGTTGACCATTCCCCAAAACAGAAAACCTGCTGGCTCCTTTCTCCCCAAAGCTCGAAATGGTGGCACAACTTATTTGTCCTGACAGATCCAACTTTTTAGCGATTCCCAGTACTGGGGCAGGGGGTACTGGGGTGGTGGTGGTAGACAATCTTGTAGTCAGATAAACAAGATGAAATCGGCTTCAACCCCTTCCTATCTGACTTTGGGCAAATGTTCTCTTTGATCCTCTGTATCAATATCTGTTAAAAAAAAAAAGTGAAAATGACACAGATCTCAGAAAATTGAGGGAACATGTGCATAGCACCCAACACAATCCTTAGCATTCAAAGAATGCCAGGCCCCATTACCCTAGTCTCAACATGTTCCCAATGATTATTTAAGCATCAAAAAGAAAAGAGCCACCCAGCCTGTTTCCCCAGGCTATCACCTATTCCAGTCTTTTCTTATGAGGATCATGGGGACCATAGGAAATGCACATACAGCTGAGGGGCCACCTGGCCTTGTGCCCTGCCTCTTTGGGCTGGCCACTCCTCTACAATCAGCCCTGCTGGCACAGAGCTTGACCAGTAACCCCAATAGCTGTATCCTGTTGCACAGAGCAAATGAAATGCCTTTCCAATCCAGTGGCTTCTTTTGATCTTGGCTCAGCGGGTAACCCAATCCCCACCCCAACCTGCATTCCCCCATTTCTCCCATGGTGACTAAACAAATCCACACTCTTGCTTTTACTGCAGTTTCGGGCTGGCTGCCTCTCTGCCAGGATTTCCCTGTGCAAATATTCCCACACCTGCCGCCTCATCCGGCAGGCCCAGCGCTGCCTTCCCCTTAGCCACACCACCTCCTCTCCCCAGAGCAGCATGCCAGCAGGTTCCATCCTTGGCCCAGTTAATCACAGACTCAGCCTTCCTCTCCCTTTGTTTTCCTGCTGTTGACACCACATTCTGCCCACTGCTAAAGCTTTCGTCACACTCTGTCAGCCCAGGACTCGGAACTACAGTCAAAACATCTTTGAATTCCCTCCCACCCAACCTCCATGGGGATCTTGTTCTCCAAAGTTTGCACAATATCATTCCTGAGAGCAGTTTTGAAGTCCAGTTGTCCTTCACTGATGGAGTCCCATGACTTCAATCCCTCTCCCCAACGAGTGGGTATCTGTGCACTGTCTGATTTGTACCCCCCCACCACCCCCCCAAGAGCTCAGGGGTATCCACAGATTCTTTTTTTTTAAGATTTTATTTATTTATGAGCGACACACAGAGAAAGAGAGAGGCAGAGACACAGGCAGAGGGAGAAGCAGGCTGCATGCAGGGAGCCCGACATGGGACTCGATCCCGGGTCTCCAGGATCATGCCCCGGGCTGCAGCTGGCACTAAACCACTGCGTGCCACTGGGGCCGCCCAGATCCACAGATTTTAAGAAGGGCCTGAGATGCTAAAGCCCCTTCACCTTTCCTTCTCAGCATTTCCATCAGGGTAGGCGTAGTCTTCCTACCTGCGGCACTCCCAGCCCACGTAATGCCCTGGTGCTCCAGGAGTTTTCTGGGGCATGATGACCAGATCAATGACCTGAACACAGTCAGGCCTATTGGTCTTGGTTTCTTTCTGCATGAATTAACAACACAGCTCCAGTCTCCTCTTCCAAAGCAGCTGGGTGGTTCTCCCCATTGGCCCAGGCCTGAGGCTTTTATACATAAAGGCAAGTGGGAGGGGATAAGGTAGGAAAACAAAAGGTGAACGCTGCCATGGAGCCATATTGGTAACACTACCCAACCAGTCAGTCCAGGGCTCCCAGCCACCATTATCCTACCCATGCCCCTAATTTTACAAAACAAAGCAAAACTAAACTGAAATCATCTAAGAGTGTTTTATCCTGTGCTATATAATTTGGGGGAGTAATTATATAGTCCAGTGTTTTCATCCCAAACCATCGCAGATATAAACCTATTACATCATGCCAACTTTTCAGATCACTTCCTTCTGGTGACCCCTAGAGCGACATATAGATAGGCCATTGGAACTCGAGAAGATCTTGCAGAATGCTCTGGAACTAGGGAGCTGAAGCACTTTGCCTGGGATCACACAGCCAGTTCTCGGCCAAGCAGGGATTAGAACCCACGTCAAATCCCCTAGTGTCCTGGCCACAGCACCCACCAGCCTTCCTACCCCCAACCGGGTCAGCACATATATAACCAGTGAATTCACGTCTCACTCCAAGAGTCTGATGACATAGTGTCTGCAGGCTTTGGCCAACGCTCACAGGCTACCCTACTGCAGCAACAAACACACTTCTAGACTATTTCATCTCCTGCCCCTCTGCTCAACAGATTATGCCTCCTCCGGAGACCTGTGCAAAGCCAAATCCAGAAACACCAGTAGAACAAGGCATTGTTTTCATCTTCCTTTTTCCTCCTTCTTTTTTTTTTTTCCTTTTTTCCTTCTTTTCTCTGATGCCTATTTCCCACTGCTGCCTTTTCTTCCCTAGAAATCTTGCTGTCCTCTGACATTTGCATCACTCTAGGTGCTGGGTGACCTCCTAATTGATGACCCTGACTCTAATGGTTAACCATGCCATTAGAACAGCGATGCTCAGCTCTGATTAGAGGTTAGAATAATCCGGAGGTTATTAATACTGGCAGTCAGTTTGGCATAGCCATTAAGGCTGAACATCTGGATTCCCTTTGACCCCGTGATCCCATCCCTGTGTATATATCCCCAACAGAAACATACACGTGGACTCAAACAAAAGAATTTTCACGGCAGCGCCATCCATAATCCCCAGGCAGGATGCTCCCCAAATGTGCACCAATAGAATGGATAATCAAAATGTGGCATATTTATGTAATGGAGTACCTTACAGCACAGAGAATAAGCAAACTTTAGCCAAATGCAACTAGGTCTATAAATTTCAAAAACAAGCAAATTAATATATGGTCTTTGGGTGGGGGGAAAGAAAGTACTGGAAAAGAGTGGGAGGGGAGCTTCTGAGTGCTGGTAATATTCTGTACCTTAATTTGGCTGCTGGTTGCATGAGTTCCTTCATTTTACCATAATTTATCAGCTGTTCATCTATGATTTATACTTGTTTCTATATATAATTAGCTTCAATAAAAAATTGACTTTAAAATGATAACCCAAACACCACACTATTTAGTGCCTGGACCTCATCTCCAGAAATTCTGGATTAGTCTGGGGTAGCACCTGGGTTCAGTAGGTTTAGAAGCTCCCCTGTATTATTATTATTGTACAGTGTTTACAAACCACTGCATTAGATCTCTTCACTAGGGCAGCCACAGGAATCTGTCTAATTGAATATCTGACCAAACTTCTGCGGCCTGCCCCTCCCCAAAGGGGAAAGGCCAGGCCCCTTAGCATAGCACACCAGGCCTTCGGAGACTTGGCCCTAATTAACCCCTCCAACAGTCACTCCCACACCCCTCTGATTGGCAGGTGGGCAGTCTAGTGAGGAGTGAAGTTTCCTGCACCACCCATGGTATCTCATGGGTCTGTGGGTCTGCTCTTGCTCATCCCCTTATTGTGAACTGCCCTTCCAACCTTCTTCTCCTCACTAACTCGTAGCCACTTGAACATTCAAATCAGGTGCCAAAACAAACAAACAAACAAACAAATCAGATGCCAGCTCCTACAGGAAGCCTTCCTTGAATCCCCAAAACAAACTAGATGCCCACCCAGCTCACCACACCCTGCCCCAGCCCTGTTATTTGCCACATGGTTGGTATCTGCAGTATCTGGCTTAGGAAAGGTGGGTTCTAGGAGAAACAACTTCATTTCCTGTGGCCAGCCCCAAGCCTTCTTGCCTGAGCTTCTCCACTGAGGACTCTGACTCCATTTCATCTACACATTCCCTTACCCATTGAGCATCACTATGTAGTGGGGACTACCCCAGGTGCTGGGGAACGGAACATCCTTGCACTCATGGGGAAAGGACAGACAAAATGCAACACATCAGTAAGACTGTCTGACTATATTCAGAGCTAAAAAAAAAAAAAAAGGCCAGGTAATGTTACAGTAATGGTGGGTTAGAGGGAGGCATCACCAAGTGACATTATGAACTGAGAACTGAATGTCAAGGATCTGCCAGGCCTGCAGAGGTCTAGGGCCAGAGTGTTCCAGGCAGAAGAAATAGGACCTGTGTGGGCCCGAAGTCAGGAATGAGTTTGAAGTGCCTGAGCAGCATAAGGGCCAGTGTAACTGGAGGGAAGTGAGCAAGGTCAGAGGGGTGAGAGTAAGAGTAGGGCCAGGTCCTTGGATGGCTTCCAAAAAGGGAGCCAAAGGATCTGGTTTGCCCTCTGGCTGCCATGTGGCAGGAGACTTGAGGGAAGGAAGAGTAGAATTAGATCAGGAGGTGGCTACTGGAGCCCAGGTGAGAGATGAAGGTGGATGGGCCCAGGGTGATGACACTGGAGAAGAAGAGAAGTGGTCAGATTTGAGAAAGATTTTAGATGAAGTAGAAAAGGGAGAAAAAAAAAAAAGGAGGTGGGTAAGGGGATTGGTTAACTAGGTGATGGGGATGAAGGCGTGCACTTGTGATGAGCACTGGGTGTTGTATGGAAGTGTTGAATCACTATGTTGTACGCTAGTATTACACTGTATGTTAACTGGAATTCAAAAGAAAAGGAACAAATGAGGACTCCTCCATTTGGGGTCAAGAAAATTGGGTAGATGGGTGAGGTGGTGGAGAGAAATAGGCTTGGGGGCAGGGGGAGAGAGAAATCAGTGCAGTCATCAAACCCACATGATCTTTATCTTCCTCTGTGCCAGTCAGTTCCTGGGCTTGTGGAATGTCAGGAAATCAGCCAACCCAACCTTGAGCATCTATACATCACTCGGTAGCATTTCCTTTACAATGAGTATGTGCCTCCTCAGCTCTAAGAAAGTAGAAACAAGGGGCATCTGGGTGGCTCAGCAGTGTAGCAACTCCCTTTGGCCCAGGGCATGATCCTGGAGTCCCAGGAACGAGTCCCACCTCGGACTCCCTGCATGGAGCCTGCTTCTCCCTCTGCCTATGTCTCTGCCCATCTGTCTCTCTCGAATAAACAAACAAAATCTTTTTTAAAAAATAAAATAAATAAATAAATAAAGGGGCATCTAGGTGGCTCAGTCTTAAGCATCTCTCTTCAGCTCAAGTCATGATCCCAGGGTTTTGGGATAGAGTCCCACATTGCATTGGGCTCCCTGCTCAGTGGGGAGTCTGCTTCTCCCTCTCCTTCCCCCTTCTCTCTCTCTCTCTCTCTCTCTCTCTCTCTCTCTCGCTCTCTCTCTCAAATCTTACAAAAAAAAAGAAGAAAAAAGTAGAAATGATATATAAGTAAACTACCTCCTGCTCAGCATGCTTTCATTTCATCTTCTCATCTGATGCTTGCAACAGCCGAATGTGGATTGTCGGGCAGCTTGGGAGCCTGAGTAGCACCTCACAGCTCTTAGCAGCAGAGCCAGGACCCCAATGGGTGTGTCCACTGCTCTGCCAGTCACCCTGTGTCTCGTTCAGGACCAGAGCAGCTGTGGGACAACAGAAAGCAAGGACACGGGCAAGGTGTGGTCATTAGCTGGCATAGCATCCTTTCACTTTCCTCACAGGCAGTCCCTGGGGTTCAGGAGCAGAGGGGCTCAGGACCAGGCAGGGAAGCAGATTCTAAGGGTAGATGCTACACCGTCAGGATTCTCAGTGCTGGCCATGTGTCAGGGGGCAGGCTGTTGACTAAGGATGCTGGGAAGGGGTGAACAGTGGCTTCTAGCTCACTCTCAGAGGATCTCAGGATTAAAAGTATTAAGCAGAACCTCTCTGAACAAAAATTGCTCCAGGGGTGTTTCAAGTAAACCTCTATATCTATGTGAAAAACATACCTGGTAGTAGCTCAAGGGAGAAACTTCAATTTCTTAAGGTTGACAAGCCAAGAATAGTAACCAATATGTTCTCAAAGTTTTTCTGAAAGTGACTAGCCCCACACACTTAGAGTTGGTAAATATGATTACCACCATTTCATAAAGTTGCAAATGTGTGTCTGTAACCACAACCACCCAGAAAGGAAGCAGGAGATGGAAGTTCTGGGTCAAGCCTTTCTATATACTCACTATGGTGGGACCAACCAGGGTCGGTCTGCTGGGCCTCAGGGTCTTCCTTGGTCACTCCCGGGCACATATTCAGGGTCCAGAAGACAGGTCCAGCTCTGGCCCGGGGCAGCTGGGATCTGCTGTGAATCTTGCACTTATTGCTGGTGTCAACCCACCCTTGCAGAGGGAGGGAGTCAGGTAGAGATGCTCCTCCAACTGAGAGGTCTACCTGCAGTGGAGGAAATCATGGTTTCCTTTCTCTCCTCAGCTGGAACCAGTGGGCCAGAAGACAACCTCCAACAACTTCACCCACAGCCGAACCAAACTCAAGTGCCCCTCTCCTGTGAGTAAATGTCCTAACATCCTGCCTGTCCTGTCCAGTGTGAAACAGATGCTTGGGAGAATGGGGTGGTCCCCAAACCTCCAGGCACAAAGGAGGTCCCTGGGAGCTTTTACATCAGACACTTCATTCACTGGCATCATTCTCAAATCTCACCATTCATCCTTGTCCCTGAGACGTCACAGCTCCTCAGGGTGTGGGATGGAAAGAGCAATAGGTCTCATGGGTGCAGCACTCATGAGAGGAAGATGAATGGGCAGTGGTGCAGTAGCAGAGGGGTGGGGGGTGTGTAGAGAGAAATAGACATTGTGCCTGTCCTGGGAGCCTGTACTCCTCCTTCCTCCCTTCCCCACACATTCTCTCTTACTACCCTCACCCGGACTTCTGACCAAGCTCCTAATATGCTCCCCAGCTCTTCTCTCCTTTTCCTGTGCATCCTGTGACCACTGCCAGGCACTATGTGGCTTACATAGAAGGTCACTCAAGTCTTATCAAGGCTGCTTGAAACCCTTCCCTGGTCCCAGCTGCCCACTGGAGCATCCAGAGGGGAGGCCCAGCTTCCTCTATGGCCATTGACATGTTATGTTCCTAGAAAAAAGGGGAGCTTCCCAGACAAGGCCCACAATTCCCAGGTCTGTTCCCTCACCCCACCATCTGCTCCTCCTGGAGGCTCATCCCATCTCTGCCCAAGGGAGACAGCCACAGCCTTCCAGGCTCAGGTGCTGCCCAACTAGACCACTGTTCCCTTCCCTCACCCTACTGCTGCTGCCTTTGAAACATCTGTGTTGGTCTCTCTCCTGTTTATACCTCTCAAAAGACACGACCCAGGCTCCTTTGTGATGTGCTTATTTCTGAACGTGGCCTATTGGCCAATGGGACCATGACTGTGGTCACATCTTAACCCTTAGGTACTCTCTCAGCTCCTAACCAGAGCTCCATATCATGTTCCTCATGGAGGAAGGAGAGAATCCAGGGAGGCAGAACCAAACATCTCCCCTCGGGGCCTTCCTCATGCTTGGTCCTCTATGCAGCTGACTGTTGTCCCTGCTCCTGGGGAACTCCTAAGGGAGGATGGGCACAGTGGTGGCCTAGAGGAAACAGAGGTGGGGGGTCTGCAGCCCCCAGGACTCTCTTCCTTTGGTCACCTATTGGTTCCCAATCTTTCAAAATCTGGTTGACGGGAGAGGAGATGCTGGTGAGAAACTGAGGGAGGTTAGCTAGGTATTGACCACTTTGCAGACCCATCCTCATTCAGAAGGTTTGGGCACAGTGTAGATGCAGGAGGCTTACAAACTGGGGGATGAATGTGAAAACATGCAAGGTTATCACACCATCACCAGGATAGGGACTAAGCAAGCTTGATGTGGGCAGATGGGTAGCTTTCCGATGCCCTTAACCCCTGACCCTCTCCTTCTCCACAGGAGAGCCCTTACCTCCACACCCTGAGGAACAGCCAGCTCCTCCAAGACCATTCTGAAGCAGGCCCCAACGTGCTCTCCTGGGCCGTGCCTGTGGCGGCAGGAGGCGGCCTTATACTTGGTGTTGGCACAGTGATGGCCTGGAGAGCCTTAAGAGGTCACCAGAGGGAAAATCCTCCAATGAGCCTGCGCACTATGAGTTTCTAAGCCTCCAGCCACATGCACGTGCTCATCTTAAATTCCCCAGCCACACTCCTCACCAGCCCTCTACCTCAGCCACCTTGGCCACCACAGAGAGCTTCAACACCTGGTGACATGGGAAGCCAAAGGGACAGTCACGACTCTTTGGGGCCTGGGGCCTATGCTCCTGGAATTGCCAAATTTAAATAAAGGCCAAAGCCATTCTATTCTTGGGTTAGCCTGTTTGAAGCTCTCACTTTCCATCTGTTGTGCGACGCAGGTGTGCGAGCTCTAGTCTTTCATTATCCTTTCTCAGCTGGAGCTGCCCCAGAGATGGCCAACCAGAGTGCAGACCTGCCTCTGTCAGGCCTGGCATCCCAGGAGCAGATCCTCCGTCACCGAACCCACTATTTAAAAGGTGGGAAAAATGCTGGCCATCAGGTGGTGGCTAGAATATTGGAGCTGGCTGGCCATGATTCAAGTACAATCCAACACGAAGCTTTTATATACTCATTTGGGACACAAGATAACGTGGAACGCTGTGGTACCTCCAAGGCTGTGGTACCTGGCTAAGAAGACAAATTCCTTCAAAAAAAAAAAAAAAAGCAAGAAACTCCATGTAGCATAGTGCAATGCTGTTCTGGTACACTGGTAGGTAAATAGGTCTGATCGTTCTGAGCATAGGAGGAGTTCCTGAGGAAAGTTATCTGGAAGAGAAAAACTGAAATGTCTTAAAAAAAAAAAAAAAGGATTGGACATGAAACTTAATCTATCTCATCTAACTGATTTTCTCAAGTGCTAACCTTAGGAAAGAATTGCTCTTGTTACACCACCAGAATTTGGGGAGTACTCTAGAGAGAGTCCAGGAATACAGGCTACATTCATCGAGCCCCTGGTAGAGCACAAGGCCCTGAGCTGGATGTCTTACACAGATTCTCTCTATGCTACACAAAATCCCAGGGAAGGAGTGAGGAAAAATGGAGGTACGAGTTGCACAATATTGTGAACGCACTAAATGCCACCAAACTGTTCACTCTAAAATGGCAAATTGTAAGTCCTGTGTATTTCCCCTCAAAGAACACAAAAGAGAATTCACTATCATCTGCATTCTAAGTACCTCTCTGATTCCAAAGCTTGGGATGACAAAAAAACAAAACAAAACAAAACATTAGAAAGCCCAGACATAGGGATGCCTGGGTGGCTCAGCAATTGAGCATCTGCCTTCAGATCAGGGTGTGATCCTGGGTCTGGGGATCGAGTCCCACATCAGGTTCCCTGCAAGGAGCCTGCTCTCCCTCTATGTCTCTGCGTGTCTCTCGTGAATAAATACATAAAATCTTGAAGGAAAGAAAAAAGGGAAGGAAGGAAAGAAGGAAAGAAACAAACAAACCCAGACATACCATTTGAATGTGTAGCCTTCAGGTTTTTTTTTTTTATTTTTATTTATTTATGATAGTCACACAGAATGAGAGAGAGAGGCAGAGACACAGGCAGAGGGAGAAGCAGGCTCCATGCACCGGGAGCCCGACATGGGATTCGATCCCGGGTCTCCAGGATCGCGCCCTGGGCCAAAGGCAGGCGCCAAACCGCTGCACCACCCAGGGATCCCTGAATGTGTAGCCTTCAGAGCAAACCCCATCACCAGCCAGTTTCTCATAGCTCATCTGTAAGACTGGAATCAGAGTGGTCATTCTGCTTGCCTCATAGTACTGCTGGAAATGCTCTGCAAATCTCGAATACTGCACACATAAAAGGGGGTTGTTTTCTCCTTTGTGAAGAGTTGGGATAGGATCCAGATTGTCAGGGGAGTAGAGAGGTCCAGAGATGGGTTTGGGAATTGGGCAGGAATGTATTAATGAAGACTGCCTGCCTTCCCTCCATCATCTTATCTCTTTGGCAAGCAGAACAGAGTCCCCAAAGAACCTAGATCCAGGGCCAGTGTTCATTTGGGCTTCAATTTCTGTTTCTGTCTCTGGGAACAGCATACCTGTCCCATTTCTTCTATGGACCAAAAAACACAATGACTGAATCATACATGTCCTATATGTGACCTGCCACATCCCAACTTGTGCCCCTGGTTTGCCATGGTTAACAGCAAAGATGACCCATGAATTCCAAGAGTCCAGCACCACCATGCCCTTTTTTCCTATTCCTTTAGTTTTCATTCCTCCAATAGCTCCCACTTCAAGAATCATGGAATTCATAACCACAAGTCTGTCCTCACTTGGGTTGGAATTTATGATACCTGAGTAATCCAGGAGCCCCTAGTCTAAAAAACTAACAACAACAACAAAAAAAAGATCCTAGCCTGGTGACCAAGGATACACATGGCAGAAACAGAGATAAAAGCATGAGCCAGGCCCTAAATTCCCCCCAAATACATACTAAAAACCCAGAAATTTAAAATATGTGAGTCACTACTTGTACCTGGAAGTAATCTATACACATTGAATGCATGCCATGTTCCTCCCCTTTGGAAAAATGATCCATCTAGTGGGGATAACACCCATGGCCCCACCATGAATGAAGCCACCAAATCCTGAGAATGCTATGCTCCATGGTGCTCTCCACAGAGAGTTTTAAGTTCAAAAGAGATCAGTGTGGATTAAACTTCGTCAAAAGCCTTCTCCATGAAGGACCTGGAACCTTGAACTCTGAAGGATGGGAGAGGACTTGGTCAGAGGCAGCCAAGAATGGGGTTTAGACTAGACAAACTCCATCTACATGGAGAAGCCAATGAGTGTGGTGTGCACAGGGGATAACAAGCTGGAAAAGCAAGGCTGGTGGATCCAGACACAGCCGGATTAGGGGACACCATGGAAAGGAGTTCACAGCGACTCAATTCTTGCAATGGTTGTACTGTCCGACTGCATTGGATTTATACGAAAGAGTAGTACAAAGAAAAATAATACCAGTAAAAGCTGACAGAGTGCTGACACTACGAAAGACATCATGGCACAGGGTCATTAAGCCTCACATCCCTATTATCTTCCTCTTTTCCTCTTTAAAATAACTAAAGAGAAAAAAACCCAGATTCAGGGAAGTGGGAAGTGGCCTAGAGTTATACTTGCATTACAAAATGGACATCCATCCAAATGAATACTGGTGTCCAGGTTGGGGGAACAACCTGGAAATACAAGACAGGTGATTCTAGAAGGGAAGTAAGCCAAGTTGTAAATAAGTGTGTTGTAAAATAAAAACCTAGCCCAGGGGGATATTATCCTCCCAAGGCTGGGATGACACCACCAGGAGTTTCTCTACTTCCAACTGGTCTGAAGAAGCCTGCCATTT